TACTAACTTTGCAGTTACTTTCAGTGTTTGTAGATTGCTCCTCCTTCTTTTGAGACTACTGGCTTCCTTTCCCTAGAAGGTATCTCATTCCCTTACCAATCATATTAATCATTTGTGTTGGGTAAAAAAAAAAAGTCTACAAGGTAGTGGGTGATAATCACTACTATTTACTGTGAACTCTCTGGGTCAGTGTGATTTACTTCTATTTCTAAATCTTCACAGCAATCACAGGAAGAAAAACCTTCTAAAGTATATCTTCAAATGTAAGGTACAGTGTTTTCCCCAAGATTGGCCTCAGAAAACAAGGATCCCTTCATGTGTGAATCCTTCCAGAGACTTCTCTTGTGGAAATGACTCTATTTTAAGCCACAAAGTTGTTTAAGCAATGGCCTAATTATTATGAAAATGAGTGTCTATGGTTTGAATTGCTAAGTATTCAGGCTTTTGTGGTATTTTTTTTTCATTTTACAGATGTGGAAGCTGAGGGTTGGAGATGTTAAATAACTATCTCAAGGTCAAACAGTTAGTGGTACAGCCAGAATTTAAACTCAGACAGATAATCTTACTTTCTTACCCTCATTGTCAAACCTTTCAGATTCTTTCTTTTGCCTGTAATAGGATTTTAATCTATTTGTTTCCTTCCTTCCTGCTCAATTTTCATTCTAAGAACAGAGAAAATAAAAAATGAATATACATCCAGTCTGCAAACTTGCTTTTCTGGACAGCAGTAGGCAGGTCTAGTTTACTTTCTAAGCTAAGGAGGCCTGGGGTTCTTTCCGCTGTTTCCTTGCTTTCCTTCCCCATTGACTGGGAGTCCATTGTTAATTGATTTAGTCCCTGACCTTTGCTGATGTCTCTGGTTGTAAGGACTTCTTCTCCACTCTAAGCTGCAGTTGTCTTTCCTGGTACCTTCAGTGTGACAGAAAAGATATCAAATGTGTCTGGGTTTGCCTCTTCTTTTTTTCTTTTTTGTTAAGATTTATTTATTTATGCATGCAGAACTGGGCTATAGGCCAGAGGTTCAGGATGTGTGTATGTGTATGTGTGGGAGCGAGAGAGGATTCACCAGAGACAGAGTAGAGAGCAGAACAGGCAGATCCACGAAATACACTGCTGAGGGGAGCAGCGGAGAGATAGGAGAGGTCTGCTTTGGGGATCACCTCCAGGGCCCGGGATCGAACTTTCACTGAAGCAGCTAGTTTGCAGTGCTGAGCCCTAACCCTTTGCCCATCAGGGAGGGCCCGGGTTTGCCGCTTACCATTATTCTTCCCCTCCCCATTCTTCTCTCCTCCTCCCCTTCCATTCCTCCATGTCCTTTCCTCCCCAATGAGAGTATTCTTTTAGAGTAGTTTTGGATTTATAAAAAAGTTGCCAAGAGAATAGAGAGTTTCTGTGTAGCCTTCACCTTTTTGTTAAAATCATAATTACGGGGCATTGTCATAACTAGGAAACTAACATTAGTATGTTACTACTAACTAAAAACTGTCGACTTCACTAGTTTTTCCCTCAAGTCCTTTCTCTGTCTCAGAACACACAAGACATTTGGTTGGTATGTTCCCCTAGACCCAGCAGGTGTGTGATTATATTTCAAACTGTCCTTGTTTTTCATGAACTTGTCAGTTTTGAGGAGCATTTGTTGAGGCATTTTGTAGGATGCTCCTCAATTAGGATCTGCCCAATGTCTTTGACATGAGTTTATGTGTTTGACAATATCACAAAAGTAAAGTGCCATTCTCTTACATCATCTAACATCACTGTTGTTAACTTTGACCTAGCTAATAAGACAAAGAGACTCGCCCTCCCCTTTCCAAACGTAATTTTTTTTAAAGAGGCAAGTTATTTTGTGCAGCCTTGATTTAATAAGTGGAAGATTAAGAAGATTAAGCTATACCTCTTGGAGGAAGGGGTACCCAATAATAAGTTATTTAGAATTCTGCTGTAAGGAGGAATTTGTCTTTTTATTTATTCGTTTGCTCATTTATTTACTAGTGCATGGACTGAAGGATATTTATTTTGTGCTTTGGTTTATAATTACTACTTTATTTTGTTACTCAGTTTTTTTTATGTTTGGACATTGGCAGATCTCTAGTTATCTCTTGTGTCCTTTTGACTTGCTCTAGAATCCTCTTCCCACTTTTTTAAGGAGTATGAGGACAACAACCTCCTATATTTTTCCTCCCCACCCCTAGAATCAGCATTTTCTCAAGGATCCCTGTTTTCTTATGGTTGTAAAATACTATGAGAAACTAAAATCTGACCACTGGTATGCTCATTGCTATTGGGATGTCACTACTTGAAGATTTTTTCAGTGGAAGAGATAGAAAATATATGTACATATACCAGCCCATGCGATACATTATCTGTAATCTCCCATACTTCTGTCAGACTGAACAGTAGTCTTGATTTTAAATTCATCTTAATTCTTGACTTTGTGGGATGCGTGAAGGAAATTAGGGTGTAATTTTTAAAATAGCATGCAGAAGTATTATTTAGGCAGCAGAAGTTTGCTAGGGGTCACTAATGAGGGTTTCTGTTGATCTAGCTTAGGTCAGTAACTTGAAATGTTCTTCTGGGCAGACGTTAGAAAGGGAATTCCTAAGTGACTCTGATGATTATCCTACCCTATTTTATGTTCTACAACTATATTTAAAAATTATTCCTCTACTCTGGGGAGAGAATTTTAGCTCCTCTAGGGTAAATGCTTGATGTATATACCTGCTTTTTATAAATGGAATATAATACAGTGAAGAAATATGCTTGATATCATCAAGGAGATGGTGTTAGTTTAAAACAAAATAAAAACAAAAGCTCTACCCTTCCCTTTCTAGGACAATCAGTGAACTCCTTTTAAATTTCTTTTGATGTCAGGCAAAACAAAGAAAAACACTCAGAGCATTCTCTTAAGAGACTATGAGACTTGGACTACGCCTATTAAGACAGTCCTTAAAACCTTCCACCTCTTGAGGAGGGGAGTGTGTGTATGTGTGCACACATGTACTCGGTAAATCATGTCTTACGATGCTAAACACTGAAGTCTAAATTCTGTTCTTTTCCATTTTTATTTTATTCATTCCAAAGACTTATCATTTTATTTTTGTATGGTACATCCTGAACCTCCAAGATTTTTAGTGGAAGTAAATTGCAACAGCTGTTTTTCATGTACTAAATAATACAGTTGTGAAACCTAACCTTGAGATGACATAGCCAGATTTTTCCAGGTATGGAAATGACTGGAAAAGATTTTGGGGGGTGTAGTCTTTCCAATACAGAATCATACTCAGCTGCTTGCTGTCAACTTCATTCAGAAAAAGATGTTTTTATGAATCTTTCTTCCAATACTCCCTTCTTAATGTTTTCTCATTTATAAATAGTGCGTCTTCACACACATAAATATGCACTCCTCTAAGTTCTATCTTCCTTTCCTGCTTTGTAGTTCTCTGCAGAACTTACCACCATCTAGTTTACTACATATTTTACTCCTTCGCTTTTTAATTGCTTCCCCCAACTAGAGTACATGGCTGACCCCTACAACTAGACTAATACTGGAACATAGAAAATGCTAAATGAACACTTCTGAATGAATAATGTGAAAATTGCAGGTTTTGATCATTTGACCCCTGATTTTAACATGAATTAAATTTTTTATTTTTTTATGTGAAACTAAATTACATTACTTAATTTACGACACTAGATTTATCTGTTCATCAAAAATCTCAGAATTAGTACTAGAAATGGGTCTAGTTCCTTAGAAGTTACATTGTTACTCAATGCAATATTGTTATCATATGAGAGGAATTTTATTCATTTTTATTTTATTCATGCATACAAGAACTGTAGTATAAGCCAGAGGTGCAGGGGACGAGAAGATTCACCAGAGGCAGAGTGGGGAGTAGAACAGGGGATCTACTGAAAACACTACTGAGGAGAGCAGTGAGTGAGAAAGGAGAGGTCTGCTGTGCCTTATGTGGGTCACCCCCAGGGCTGGGATTGAATTGGTGCTTCAGTGGCTGGTGATAGCTCATAGTGCTGAGGCTTAACTCCTTGCATCACCAAGAAGGCTCCTGTGAGGAATTTTAAAGTTATCAGCTAAATAGCACTCTAGAAATTAGTGGAAGAATTGAAAGCAAACGTTTTTAAAAATTTTAAGGTATATTACCTTAAGACTCACCTAAAGATATCTTGAACATTGTGACATTATCCAGTTTGGTCGCTAGTCTATTCTCTAGATTTATTTCTCTAGATTATCATTGTGATAACAAAACAAAACAAACTTAATTTTCCAGTGCAGGGAATATGCTGAAAAATCAGAAAATTCTTCTGAAGGAGTATCAGTGTCAGTTTCATTTAGAAAGATGGATGCTGCCATGCTTTTATTTTTTGGTTTTAACCATGTTACTTCATAAGTACATTTATTAAAATTTCTAGTGTCTGTTGTACTTACTTTTAAATTTTGGAAACTAGTAGATTCATTGTTTAAGCAGTATATAAGATAGTAAGATAATAGAAGAGGGTCTACAACTTAATTGGTCGTTTTATTTTATATTTTTAAAAAATATTTTCATTTATTTATTCATACAAAAACTGCAGTAGAGGCCAGGGGGCAGGGGGTTAAAGGATTCACCAGAGACAGTGGGGAGCAGAACAGGCAGAATGACTGAAATACACTGCCGAGGGGAGCAGTGGGAGAGACTGGAGATGTCTGCTGGGCCATGTGGGTCAGCTCTCTGGTCCGAGTGGAACTCAAGCCACAGGGGCAGGTGATAGCTTGTAGCACTGAGACTTTAACCCCTGAGCAACCAGGGAGTTCCTAGTGGGTCATTTTATACACTAAGTCTTTCAGAACAAAAACTCTCATTCCAAAGTTCCTGCAGTATTTGCTCCAGGACAAGAAACAAACAGAAAGCATTCTAGTCAGTGAACTCTCTTTGGTATACTGTGGTCTATAAATGATGTCTTTGTGCCAAACTGACATGTTTTCACATTATCATCTTTCCTTCTAGAGCATTGGGGAGTCCACCATGGCTGTAGTGTTAAATCAGCTGCTGCCCATGATTAAGCCTTTGAACCAGAGGACCAATGATGACTACAATCTTGAAGAGCTGTTGATCCTACTGATATATATTTACTCTATCACTGGGGAGTTCACTGTGGACAAAGATCTGGGGGAAGCTGAAGAAAAAGTGAAGAAAGCACTGACTCAGGCCTTTTGTGAGGAGTCTGAATTGTCACCTTTGCTGCAAAAGATCACAGGTAAGTGTTTAACAAAGATATAGCATATAAATGTGTAAAAATGTAAACCTGTAAAATTAAGCTGTTTTGGGAAGAGGAAGTATGTGTCCTCATTAGAGTTGTGGGACTAACAAGCTTTTAGGATAAGAGGTTTTCATTGCTGTACTTTGTTCAGTTGTGGTCATGAAATAGCATTCTAGTTGCTTGTCATATTCATATTCCTTAGAGATAATGCCTTGTTAAAATAGCAGAATAAAGATAGAGTGCACTACATTTTATTCAGAGTTTTGGTTGGCAAGTTCCACTTAAAATTGTCATTTCAAACTTCTAAAAGTTCCCTACTATGTCACACAGACATGAGGTTGAAAATTGCCAATTTCAAGAGTAGTTTTGTATCTTGATTTCTAATATATCATATCAAATCTGAATTGGTAGGAACCATAATAATATCCAAATATCGAGTAAAGTAGGAGTATACATTTGGGAGAAATACACATATAATTAAATATGAAACATTTATCCATTTTCATTTCTAGTAAGAACTGCAATGTAACTCATGCAAACATACATTTGTGTTTCTATCAAATTTGATATTGCTTTTTATATGTTGGCTAAAGCCATTTTCATTAGGATGGCTTGAACCTAGACTTGAGTAAGAGCTAATTAAAACTTAACATAAAATTTGTGTGTGGACTTCTCTGTTGTGGAGAGGCTCAGCTGAGTTAGATCATAGAGCCTCCAGCTTTTCCTCCCACACCTACCCCCTCCTGCCTTGCTGAGGTGTATGCAGATCACTCAGGATAGTGTTAACCTCCCCTGTTAACCTTGGAGGTTCCACTGCTTCAGGCCCACTGCTGACCTTTCCTATGTTTGGTTATGGAAAATGAAACTGACAAGATGGAAACCCAATGAAATTTCCACAGAATGAAAAGTTGCCTGTTTGCCAACTTAAATTTTAAGGAAAACTTTTAGAATGTGTTCCCATTTTACTAGGTACAGCTCTATATTTGATTGCATGTATTTAACTATAAATGAAATATCAACTTATAGAGGTTTAATATGGTTTATACAGTGCTAAGAACAATGATTTGATTCAAAGTAAATTTGAATGCTTAGGAGAATTTAATTGGAAGTTATTTGTAAAATGTATGGTTTCAGAAATAGGCAACAAAGATGATGTGTTTTAGCTGAGGTTATTTGCATGACTTTTCTGTAACATTAGTATGTTACTATATTATTTTGGGAATTGAAGTCATGCTGTAAGAGTCTTCGTTTAATATTTGCTCAAGGTGTTCATTGACCCAACATTTTATCCTTTATTAGTTTCACTATTTATGGCTGTTCAGGAAATTGCATTTTCTTGCAATGTAATTAGATGTGATTTTACATTTAAAGGTGCTCTGTACATTCATATTTATATTAGGAAAATTTGTAAGTTCAGCAGTTGAAGAAGAAGCAGCTATGGAAATTTTAGTATATTTTTAAATTTTAGAGACAGGTTATTACTATCATTTAGTATACATTTCTGCCTACATTCATTTTGTATGTCCAGATTAAACTGGGTGGGAAGATGTGCTACTTAAACTTGGACATAAATGAAGTTACCAGCAGAACACCTGGTGTCCTCTAAGGCACAAAAGGACTTCATTTCTGAAGGTGACTTTTACATGGCCAGGTAGACATGCCCCTTATTAGGCATATCAAGAAGTCAGGAGAAGTAGGGTATATGTTTACAGTTAACTAGTAAGAATAACATTGAATCTACATTTCACAATAAAAGTGATAGGCTAGTGTTGGGGCAGTGGTGACGCAATAGGATGGGGTATCCCAGCATGCATTGGAAGACCTGAATTGCTTTCCAGATGTGCTTAATCTGCTGCAGAACTAGGTTAGCCTGGCTTTTATCATCCCCAATGTTGTGCTTATACTATTCCGGTTGGTAGTCTGCTTACTTGATACAGGTGGCAGAATTCATATTAGGCCTTGAGCACATTTTGTGGCTGAGGAAAGTTAGTTAAAAAATATGACTGAAAACAAACAATTAACCATATAAGTAATAGGAATTATGCTGTATTTTATGTAATGCTATAATGTCATCATCACTGTTGATAGGATCAAGAAAGAAACATCTTTTCTGTATAAAAACTTAAGCATGTGGTCATCACCAAATGATAGGTGACTGAACCAGCATTTGAAACCCAGTTGTTCTAGATCTGAAATCCTTTGAACATGAGATTCTAAACCTGCCACAACTGTATTGTAATTTATGCTTGTTTACACTTACTGCTTTATGCTCAACCGTTGCATCACACTATTATGTTGTTAACATAGAATTAATTTTTTAAGTTTAGACATTGCCTGTATTTTTATTCTTCTTGGAGGTGTTTCCCCACACCTTTCTATTTTTGTGTATGGATTCTTTTTGTTTGTACATTGGTGTAAAGAAATTCACTCTGTTTTTCTTTTCTCTTTCACTTTCTCTTTTTCTCCCTCTCTCATTTTCAATTTTTCTTTCTCTTTCATTTTTGCTTTTTCTTTATCATTCTCTCTTTTTTCTTCTCTCTTCCTCTACCTGTGTGTGGCTTGACCATCATAATAATGAGGTGGACACTCTTTGGTAACACATTGTGTCTACACTTCAGGCAACACAGGGCATGGAGGGGAGGATGAAAGTAAAAGGCATTCTAACAAAGTATCCTGTCTTTGTATTAAGAAAACAATAGCTTTTCGAGGGCCCTGCCCAGAGGCTTGTTTTATTGTTTAGAACAGGGTTTCATAACCACCTCTGACTACATGACAATCTGATGAGTGTTTCCATCTGGACATATGTTTATCATGAGCAAAGTCAAGGTTCTGTTAAAACAGGGAATGGAATTAGGTAAGAAGCTCACATTACTGTGCTTCCCAATGTAGATTTTCCTACATTGTTAAAGGAAAGTTTAATATACTTTGAGGTAGAATGATGCTCAGGGGTCTTTAAGGTTATAGTTATAATACTGAAATTTATTGTACAGCATATACTGAAATAATGCTCAATTGTGTTTACATCATTGGAATTTTATCACAAAAATTTTCAGCTTCTCAATACTTACTGAACATGAGTACCTGCCTAGAATGAGCCTAAGCTCTCTAAAGTTGCTGTGCTAGTAGTTTTGAGTGTGGGATTTGGATTCAGATGGATGTTAGTTCTGGTTCAGAACTCAGCACAGGCTCTTATAAGTAAGTCACTTAAGTTCCTTATTTTCCTCATAATTAAAGTAGGGATAATAGTAGCAACAAAATCACAAGATAAATAAAGGTTCATTGTTCCATGTGTGTATCAATAATCTATCAACTAGGCATTCCTCTTCAGGTATTAATAATAATCTATCATGTGTGTATCAATAATCTATCAACTAGGCATTCCTCTTCAGATATTAAGTACATAAATATTTGTTGATGCCATGGTGATTTTTAAAACATAAATTCAGTTAAAGGTATTGCTGAAATTACAGGAACTGTTTTCCCATTGTATTCTTCAACTAACATATCAGAAACACAATTATATGGTATCCTCATACTTGAAGATGGAGACCATGGATTGTGATTAGGTGTCTCTAATGTTTGCAGAAACTAGCACATAATATGAATAAGTAAAGGAGGTTAGATTTTGGAAAAACAAAATGTAGTGTAAATGCAGCGAGAAACAGCTAAGTGTAATCATTCTTAATAAAAAGTTAACAGGGAGTGGTAGGGACTGTGTCAAACTAGAAATCATTTGTTGCCAGGGTAGTATGAATCTGAGATTGCTGATTCAAGAAATGAGGGGACTGCATTCTTTTTTCAAGTGAAACTGACTTCTTTTAGAACTCTGTTGGATGGGAAATACTGAAGAGCAGTTTGAGTTTTAATGTAAGGTAGTCACTGAGATGTAAAGTCAGTCAGAACACCTGGCTCACCGTACTGAGCATAGCTTCACTCTAGTAAGACAGGGAACCGACACTGAGACTTCATCATTTGTAGAAACGATACTGGTAAGCTCCAAGATACTTTAAGATGTTATCATATTTTTTTAATAACCTTTTAAAATAATAAAATAGTTTATTTTTTCATCCTTTTGTGCCTTTTCCCATCTCAGTTGTAATCCTTGTGGGCTTCCCATCAACAAATCACCCATGTGCCATCACCATAGTCCCGTGCACTTCCTCCCAACCCCCGCCAATTTTTGATCCTGTTCCCCACTCCACCCCCCGTAAAATGTCTCTGGTATATAGTTGTTCATTGTTATTATTATTTTCTCCCCTGGTCTTTTATACTCCTGCTATAAGTGAAACCATCCAGTACTTTTCCTGTTCTTTCTGGCTTATTTCAATAAGCATGATCCCTTCCACCTCCATCCATGTTGCTGCAGAAGGCATGTGTTTATTTTTTTGATTGCTGAGTAATATTCCATTGTGTATATGTACCACATCTTTTTAATCCAGTCATCTACTTTTGGGCATTTGGGTTGATTCCATGTCTTTTCCATTGTAAATAAAGCAACAATAAACATAGAGGTCTTTTCCATTGTAAATAAAGCAGCAATAAACATGGGGGTACAGGTGTCTTTCTGAATCAGTGTTTTTGTGTCTTTTGGGTAGATACCTAGGAATGAAATTGCTGGGTCATATGGAAGTTCCATTTTTAGCAGCTTGAAAAACCTCCAATCAGTTTTCCATTGCAGTTGTACTAGTTTGCATTTCCACCAGCAGTGAAGGAGAGTTCCTTTTTCTCCACATCCTGCCAAGATTTGTTGTCGCTAGTTGTTTTAAGATGTGCCATTCTCACTGGTGTGAGGCGGTATCTCATTGTGGTTTTAATTATAAGTGATGATGAACACTTTTTCATATGCTTGTTGGCCATCTGCATTTCCTCTTTGGAGAAGTGTCTTTTTAGCTCTTCTGCCCTCTTTTTGATGGGGTTATTTGCTTTTGTTGAGTTTCATCAATTTTTTGTATATCTTTGTGATCAATCCTTTATCACTAGTTTTGTGTGAGAAAATT